TATATATATATATATATATATATATATATATATATATATATATATATATATATATATATATATATATATAATTTATAAGATCTTAATTTCTGTGTGTTCTTTGTAATATTCTTGTGCTGTATATGTCAAGTTTATATGCATTAATATGATCTAAAACTATATTGTATATAGGGTAGTATATAATACATAGAAGATTCTGTTGTTCGTTGCTTCTGATAAAACTTACTATATATGTGTGTGTGTATATAGACACACAGCACACACACAAAGTATAGCTTCTTGCCACGATAGAATGTCAAAAACATCCTATCGCTGATCACAAGTTAGGTTATCTGACAATTACCTTATATAATAATGTTCAGCTCTGTTGGTTATCCCAGCTTCGTGTACATTGATCTTATTAAACTGAGATTGATTGAAAAGGAAAATAAAGCATAAACAAATTATATTATAGTTAGATGAAACTTCATGAATCATACTAAATCATTTTTAGAGCTTAACCATTATATATCACCATTATTTACTTAATTAGCCTATTAGATCATATATATATCGCACGCACGCACACACAATCTAATAGGATAATTAAGTAAATAATGGTGATATATTATAGTTAAGTTCTAAAAATGATTTAAAGTGATTCGTAAAGTTTTATTTAACTATAATTGTATTTATTTAGTGTGCTTTATTCTCCTTTTTTATCAATATCAGTTTAACCTTTAGACTGCTGGGAAAGCCACTTTTGTGGCTATAAAGCCACTTTTGTGGCTTTCTCGGCAGTCTAAAGGTTAATAGAACATTGACATACACGTGTAAGTTGAGCCGGTATAGCGGATATTACTATATAAGGTAATCAGGATTGCATTCCAAAACATCTTTTTCGAGAAAAATTTTACTCTTAAATCTATAGTTTATGTTACATACACTATGGATTTAAAAGTAAAATTTTCCTCAGAAAGGAATGCATCCTAGATAACCTAACTTGTAATCTGCATTCTCCACATCCTATTGCGGCAAGAAGCTATGCCTTGCGAACGTGCATTACCTTTAGCGGCATTAATATTGCTGCTACGAATGTCTGTAGGTTTACTCTTGTCTTTGTAGGCTTGCCCATGGGCACCACGGGAATCGCCGTTCTCCATGGACTTTCTCAATTTAGTCATGTTTTGATAATTGTTTTAACACGAAATAATAATTGTTGATTTATTGTTGTTTTAACACGAAAAAACGAAGCCAACTCGAAATAGAGCACTATGCCACCGACGAGGTACTAGCAAAGACCGTCGGCCTTACAGGCTTTAGCGACATGGAGAAATCTAACTGTACGCTAACGCCCTTCAGTAACAGCAGAGAGAAGAACATAGATGTCTATATTAGGCTGCGTTCAGATTCTCCACCCGGGTGTATTCTATTACTAGAAGTGCTATAGTTTATGTAACATATACTGTAGTGTTTCTAGTAATAGAGTGCACCTGGATGAGGAATCTGAACGCACCCTTAGAGAGCCTATGGGCGGTATTCATAGGCCAATCTTATATTTAAGATCATCTTAAATACTGTCTTGGTTTACATCGTGCACTTGATACGCGCACTAAATAGTAACTTTCTATTAGATAATATTAATATTGACGATATATATAAACAACAGCATATTAAGCTGGTATAATACTCATTAACAAAACGTATTGTATTGATAGAATGCGTCGCTGTTGATATGCATTGTCGATAATAAGATTATCTAACAGAAAGTTACTATTTAGTACGCGTATCAAGTGCACGATGTAAACCAGGCCACTGTCTTAAGACGTCATAAACCAATCACAGAGCCGTATTCGTATCTTAAGACATTGGGCGCATTCAGTAGAAAAAGCGCTCAGTGAGCAATCAACGATTATTGGTTCTTGCTATTAGATCCCTAAATCTAGACCAATTACATTGACAAATTACTCAACTGTTGTGCAACTGTTGAGTCTGCTGAATGCAGCCATTGGCTGCGTTCAGCAAAGAAAGCTGCTTTGCAATTGTTGTAAAATTCGTGAATCTGATTGGAGTATGCTCTTAATTTTGGTTAAATCCAAGAGCATCATATACCAATCAGATTTACGAATTTTATAACAATTGCAAAACAGCTTTCTCTGCTGAACGCAGCCATTACTTAATGGCTCCTGCACACAGAACCCGGTAATGCTTGCTGTGCGGCGGAAGTCCGCGCGACAGCCAGTCAATATGTTGTTTTTCCGTAAGAGCTAGAAGGTTATTACGGAAAGCAGCATATTGATTGGCTGTCGCGCGAACTTTCGCCGCGTGGCAAGCATTACCGCGTCCTGTGTGCAGGAGCCATAAGACTAGGGATGTTCGATTCTGAATCGATTTTTTCCTCACAAAATCGATTTTATTTAATCGATTCTTTTTTACGCGATTTTGGCGTGTATTGATTATTTTAATAGAAAATCAATTCTCGATTTTTAATAGGTCAGGGATGCACATATATATAATACTATTATATGGCTAACGTAGAAATTTTCTTATAAGCGAGAGTGAGACCAACACAGAAGGACAGAATACCTAAGACAGTATTTAACTATGGTTGCGTTCCGTTTCACGCATATGCGCGCATTTATCTATAGTTCATGTTACGTATATTGTAGACAATGCGCGCATAATGCTTGAAACGGAACGCAACCTATGAATACCGCCCATAGGCTCTCTAGTATAGACATCTATGTTCTTCTCTCTGCTGTTACTCAAAGGGCGCTAGCGTACAGTGAGATTTCTCCATGTCGCTAAAGCCTGTAAGGCCGACGGTCTTTTCTAGTACTTCGTCGGTGGCATAGTGCTCTATTTCGAGTAGGCTTCGTTTTTTTAAGGACGGTTATTGGCTCAATAGAAAAGAGTGGGAGAAGTGTTCAATGATCGCAATGCAAATGTTACGCATATGCTTTGCACAGACAGAACACTGATATTGAACAGAAAAAGACAGACGAGTATTGTTTGTACCGTAGTGTTGCGAACCGCTGAGCTCCGTTAGTCATATAGTAGTATTACATATGTGGGAATGCGTATGTAGTACCCTCGAGGCCCTGTTCGTTTTCGAACCACATATTTTTGAAAAAGTTGTATACTCACAATGAATTACTAAAGCTAGTATCAGACTACAGGGCTCTTATTCTTGAAATAGTTGCGTATATGTAAGTTTCACTGCGCAGGTTTAACCATACGATAAAATAGTTGCGTAATGAAAATTACGTATACGTAAAAATTTCAAGAATAAGGGTGCGGTCCCATTGAGCACGGATCGGAACGCCGGATTGGATTTCTTACTATAATGAGCGTTCCGTTCTCTAGTTCCGTTCCGTAAAAGTTTCCTCTACCAGTCCCATGTAGCAAAAACGGAACGAAATGGCGCGTCGATCGCAAATAAATATGATTAATTCGTCAATATTTCGTTATTTTGACGCAACAGAATTAATTATATACATAATTTATGCAATTATCGGGAGCGGTGCACTTGGACACGGTGCATTTGGACACAGCCAATCACAGCACCGTGTGATTAGAGACATTTGTAGGGTCCCTTGGAACAGCGACTTGTGATTGGACTGTGTCCAATTGCCCCGTGTCCAACTGATATACACCCCAATTATCTTACCGATAACATTGTCATGAATATTCTGAAATATTTAATTAAAGAGTGAAATATATTTTATAACTAGAAATCCGTTCCGTTTTTGCTACATGGGACTAATAGAGGAAACTTTTACGGAACGGAACTAGAGAACGGAACGCTCATTATAGTAAGAAATCCAATCCGGCGTTCCGATCCGTGCTCAATGGGACGGCACCCTAAGGGCCCAGATTAAAATTGAGATTGAATTAAAAATTGGCCAATCAAAGCAAAGTTCACCAAACTTGAGCTTAGTGAATATTGCTTTGATTGGTCAAATTTTAATTTAATCTCAATCTTAATCTGTAATCTGATACCCGTTTAATACAGGATTCTCGAATTTCTCGGAAAGCGTCCAAGAAGCTTTCTAATATAGAATTCAATTCTCCATTGGAAAACTGTTCTTCTATTGGATATCAGACGTCGGATATGTATGTCGGACATCAGACGCAGTGTGATTCCTACATATCACATTTTTGTTAAAAAATATGACTGATGCAAAAACATTAGAAATGGCATTTTTCGCATATTTAACTGCGATTTACTCAAAGTCCTGATATGTTAGACAATTTTTACGGCCAGATCCGTAATCAGCGCCAAAAAATCTACTAGAAACTATGTTAACCTGGCACATATCAATCAGTGTAATTCGCTTTAATGGCTCTCGCAGACCAGCGCGATTTGCGACGCGTGATATCCAATTAGCGTACAGCTTTTCCGGAAAATCAGTACGCTTATTGGATATTGTTTGTCGCATATCATGTGTCGCGTTGTAAATGGTGCTGGTCTGCAAAGAGCAGTCAGAACACTTCGTGAACCGGTAAGGACTGATGCTTTGTTCCAAAGTACCGTCATGATATAAATATGTAGCACAGATTTGTAACGCACATTATATTATATAATATATACACATTAATTGTGCGTAATTAAAAAATTCTATTATCATGAAGCTTAGTAAGGGACAGTCCCACAACTCCCGGTTAACTTAAACAACTAATTATTTATTTCATTAAAACTGAAGAATCACATTTGTCGTTAAACAGAATTGATCAAAAATAACCAATCACGATTGAAACTAATGGCTCCTGCACACAGGACGCGGTAATGTTTGTCGCGCGGCGGAAGTTCGCACGACAGCCAATCAATATGTTGTTTTTCCGTAAGAGCTAGAAGGTTATTACGTTAATAACCATAAGCCATTGTAAATTGTTCAAAGTTACGCCGGTGTTCCAAGTTACCTCAAATGACGGTATTTTAAATAAGATTTTAAAAAATGTTGAACATTCTTTTTATAATATTACATATATATTATATAAACATTCTTTATATATATATTGTGTTTTTTTATTCATATATTATATATCTTTCATTATATAAATATTACATATTCTTATGTAATATAATAAATACAAATTTGGTATAAAATTATATAAATATCTTATTTTGTTTTTATATTTTCCTTGCAAATCAGATTTTTTTTCTTATTGCTTTAAAAACTGTTGATTTTTATATTATAGCAAAGTTGTATAACTCTTTTTTTAATATAATAATTTATTTGAAGAAAAAATGAAAAAGTCTGTTATTGACGATTAAAGAAATATATTTTTCATGTATTTTAATGATAACTGCAATTTGTGATCACGGACACACATATATATCTTTCACATGATAAAATAGAAATTATAAGTATGTGATAGTTTACGTAATAGCCGTTGTTTGGTCCTGGAGGCGCTGCAGATGTTGACAGACGTTTTGTTGTAGACACAAGATAGCGGCTAAAGGTGCGTTACATGAACGTACGGAAATACGGAAATGCAGAAATACGGAAGACAAAGTTACTAGGACCTAACTAGATTTACGCATTTCCGCGCTTTTGTTTCGTAGCTTTATTTCTCTTAAATATTACATGAAGCATATTTTATACGAAAAAGCAGAACGAGGAATTATAAAACATTAATTGTAAACGATATTTATTGATTAAAATGTTTTTATTAAACGGATAAGTTGAAAAAAGAAACGTATTAATATAAATTGCAATGAATGAAGTAAATATAATTTTTTTAAATGTATACAAATATTTATTTATCACTATACCGTTCCGCATTTCCGCACAAATTGTGCTCCATGTAATATTTAGGACAACCAAATCAATGGAACGCGTTTACTCTGTTATATATATCCTTGTGTGAGAGCATACACAAATCTGTGAAAAAAGATTTAAAAGCTGTAAAGTTTGGCTTATTACATTTGATTGCCACGTTTTTACTTGTTGCAAATATAATTTTAAATTATATGTTAATGGCTATGATCACACTGGTAATACGAGCATGAAAGCAACCAAAGAGGTATACGGAAATAACGATGAAAAAAGTTACAAAATTATTTTATATCTACAATTGTTACAAAAAATTAGAAGACAAACGAAATCGCAGAATGTGGGTAAGACCCATATTTTCTGAAAAACAAAGATTGTTACAAGGACCTAGTGATAATTTAATCGTTAAAATGCTATTGTCTGACAACGAAAAATATTTTAACTATCTGCGGATGTCACCAACAATGTTCGATGAATTACTGAAAATCATTGGACCTCACATCGAAAAACAGAAAGTAGTTCGTAATTCAATAAGTGTTCGAATAAGATTGCTGGTGACTTTACGATGGTTCGGATGACAGTATGGTATCACTATCTTATGCTTTTTGCTTGTTCCGTATTTCCGCATAAAATCCACGGAAAAGCAGAACGAAACCGCACGGATCCCATTTAGCTACTAGTTACTTTTCCGCATTTACGCAATTCCGTGTTTCCGTACGCTCATGTAATCGCACCCTAATGACTCCTGCACACAGGACGCGATAATGCTTGCCGCGCGGCGGAAATTTGCGCGACAGTCAATCAATATGCTGCTTTCCGTAATAACCTTCTAGCTCTTACAAAAAAACAACATATTGATTGGCTGTCGCATGGACTTCCGCCGCGCGGCAAGCATTACCGCGTCCTGTGTGCAGGAGCCATAACAGTTCATGGTTATGTAGTCAAAAATAAATACTCGATCGTAATTGGTCAATTCTTACGGTACGTCTTACGTTACTATTATGTCAATTTATGTATGGAGGCTCTTTAGCGGCAAGCATTACCGCGTCCTGTGTGCAGGAGCCATTAGCCCTTACAAACGTTTTGTTTATAGCAACTACTTTTTGCGCCTATTTCAATATAAGCCAGTGAAGGTATAATAATTGATTTACATATTTATATATAAATTATTTAATTTATTGTTATTCACAGTTATTTATATTTTATGGAATTGATTATATAGTTTTATATAATAGGGCAAAGAAAGGGAATTGGTGTTAAAATAGTTTTTCATATATAAAATGTTCACTTGTATCAATAATAAATAGATTTATACGAAGTATATTTTATCCTTAAGTTTGTATTTATGTTTCTAAAATTCATATACAGTTCTAACAAATTCAATCGCATTATTTGAAAGCCATTTATTCTTGGATTTTGAATTACATATTTAAAAGAGCGTTTTACTTACATTTGAAGCTCAGTTAGAATAGTATATACCCAGCAAAAAATGATTCGTTGATTGACGTTAAAATGACATCAAATAGACGTTGAAATCGTCAAACCGATGTCAATTTGATATCATTTTGATGTCAATCAACGAATCATTTTTCATTAGATATATAGATGTCACAAACATGAAGTCTTAAATACCCAGCGAGAACGTGACATCGATTCGACGTCTAACCGACGTCGGAGAAGTCTAATAGTGTTTTTCATTGGGTAGAACTGAGTACGTACTGGGAACTCGTTGAGTGCAGGACGGCACTACCCCAGTGTACCACTGGTGCAAGTTTCTTGCATGCCCACTGAAACACTCGCGGCTTGATAAGTACATAACATTGACGCATTTTTTCGGCTCCTTAACTCGATAAATTTACTTTTAAAATGGACATATCGAAAAATTGTTATTTGATACAATTAAAAATAAACACAAAAAAATTAGAATTAAGACTCGAAGATAGTGAAGAGGAGCTATATGAAAAATTATTAAGTAAATATATTGGGAGTACAAATAAGTCTCCGCCGTTTGACAAAAGATGGCCCCACCAGTAAGTTATGGTTGAAATTGTCAGATGTAAAACGTCATATCGTAAGGTTGGACATCTGGCAACACCATAACCTTGAAATATTAGCGATTTTGTATCAGCATAATTCTTTTCGTGCGAAAATGTCGAGTTTTGAGTCGAATAAGCGTCATTTGCGGGAACTTTTGATTTACTTCTTTAATTTGAAGAAATCCGCAGCTGAGGCGCATCGATGGGAGCGATGCACTTGGACACGGTGCATTTGGACACAGCCAATCACAGCACCGTGTGATTAGAGACATTTGTAGGGTCCCTTGGAACAGCGACTTGTGATTGGACTGTGTCCAATTGCCCCGTGTCCAACTGATATACACCCGCATCGATTGCTTGTAGAAGTATATGGTGAGGCTGTTTTAAGTGAGAGAAGTTGTCGTGAGTGGTTTCAAAAGTTTAAGAAACGATGTTTAAGAACGGTGAGTTTGACGTCGAAGACAAAGAACGTAGCGGAAGGCCGAAAGTATACGAAGACACGGAATTGGAAGCATTATTGGAGGAAGATTCGTGCCAAACGCAAGAATAACTTGCACTTACATTAGGAGTGACTCAATAAGCAATTTCACCATCGTTTAAAATCGTTTAAATCGTTTAAAATCGTTGGAAATGATTCAAAAGCAAGGAAATTGGGTTCCATATGAACTGAAGCCGAGAAACAGTGAACGCCGATTTTGCACATGTGAAATGCTGCTTGCCAGGCATAAACGAAAGGATTTTTTGCATCGTATAGTCACTGGTGATGAAAAATGGATCCACTACGATAACCTAAAGAAGAAATCTTGGGAACCACGTGGCCATGCTTCAACATCGACGGGAGCGGTGCATTTGGACACGGTGCATTTGGACACAGCCAATCACAGCACCGTGTGATTAGAGACATTTGTAGGGTCCCTTGGAACAGCGACTTGTGATTGGACTGTGTCCAATTGCCCCGTGTCCAACTGATATACACCCAATATCGACAGCCAAGCCGAATATTTATGGAAAAAAACTCATATTGTGTATTTGGTAGGATCAGCTTGGTGTCGTGTATTATGAGTTGCTCAAATCGGACGAAACCATTACTGGGGCTCCCTACCGAACACAATTGATGAGATTGAGCCGAGCACTCAAAAAAAAACGCGCCCACTACTATCCCAGACACGACAAAATTATTCTTCTGCATAATAATGCTCGTCCACATGTTGCGGCGCCGGTCAAAACCTACTTGGAAACACTCAATTGGGAAGTTTTACCCCACCCGCCGTATTCACCAGACATTGCTCCCTCTGACTATCACTTGTTTCGATCGATGACGCACGGCCTGTGTTACGTCCACGATAGATAACTATATAGGGAAATTTGAAAGTAGTGAAATCAGTGACTTACGTGGACGGTCAACAGAGTGATGGCTCCGCTTTTGGGTCACTCTGCTTTTCACCGAGTTTACCCTGGGTCTCGGGAGCCTGGCGAAACGATTGATGAATCTGGCGAAAAATCAGCGGTGCTTGTTCTCCTGGCTCGGCCTCGGATGTTCCGATACCACGCGGGTTGATGCGGCCCGCGATTCAGAATTTGATTTCGCAACGTTTGAAATATGAAGGGTAGGCAAAAGTAATTGCAACACAGTCGGATTTTACGACTAAGTATAATATGCTGAATAAGTACATGAAGCTACCAGAGACTAACTATGAGAAGAAAATAATTATATATATTGCCTTCTCTACAAATGCGCGCGCTTTTATATGTCGCTTTGTCGCTGAGAGTCGTTCTCCGATTGGTCCATGGAGTTATGGCGAGGGAAGAGATTCATTCCTTTGCATGATGTCACCGCGTCGGTGTCCTGAGTGGTGTTTAGGATTCAGCTTTCATGCTCCTGTTTATGTTGGCTTATCGCACTGAGCGATAGCGGTTTCTTTGGGTCGATCCGTCGATTTCGAGACTCTCCAGCAGCACGCAGCATTCGGCATTTTAATTATAATGTTTTAACGCTCGCGAATATGCATATGCGCACGTACTTACATCTAGTAACGTAGGGATAAAATATCTAGTGATGTCTGAAATCAGACAAGTCGGCCTCCCGGTCTATAATAATATATTATTAATGTTCTAAAATAGATCCGGACGTTACACCTGTCTGAGCAGCACTTCACATCATATAAAGATACCAAAAATTTTATACAAAAAATTGGGTCGATTCGTGGATAGCCTCAAAAGATGAAGCGCTCTTCCGTCGCGGTATCCGTATGCTGCCAGAAAGATGGGAAAAAGTAGTGGCTAGCGATGGACAATACTTTGAATAAAACATAAAGTACCGTTTTTTCACAATAACTGCCCAATTTTTTATAAAAAAACGGCGGAGACTTATTTGTACTCCCAATACATTGTACCGATTCAACTAATTTCATAACCTAACTATGGATAAAATTTGTTATAAAGGCTGCTTTTCTTTTTCTTTTATAAGATACGTAAGACATATATTTATATGTGTTCAAATGCATCAAACATCAAAATAATACACCCACATATACACACACCTTGTGTTAGTGTGTCAATTTATGTCAGTTTTTGCTTCGTAAAAGGAAAGCAGCTAAAAATTATTTATATTGTATACTGTTGTTATACTGTATGATAATTTATGTATTATTGAGTGATGTTCCTATTATTTACATATTATTTACATATTTCAGATGATGATGCGTATACCATCCAGTACGTGAAACTGTTAGTCCAAAATGGATTGTAACCGACGGCGGTAAAGAGAACTTACTAATATATAGGGAAATATATCGGCTGCAAGGAGATAGGTAATGTAATTGAAATTAGATTTTTGCTTGCAATTATTTATGCTGAGAATAAGTTAATAGAATCACAATAAAATGTCCAGACCTTTTGGGGAGCGTTTCGATTGACTACAGTACGATTGGACACCACCAATCGATGAAAAGAATTATCTAGTGAATTACTAGATCGAACTAATCGTTATAATCTAATTCGTATCCAATCGTACCGTGGTCAATCGGAACCCACTCGACCTTTTGCACATATATATATATATATACATACATATACATACATCTATATATATATATATATATGTATATATATGTATGTATGTATGTATGTATGTGTATATATATATATATATATATATATACATACATATACATACATCTATATATATATATATATATATATATACATACATATACATACATCTATATATATATATATATATATATATACATACATATACATACATCTATATATATATATATATATATATATACATACATATACATACATCTATATATATATATATATATATATATACATACATATACATACATCTATATATATATATATATATATATATACATACATATACATACATCTATATATATATATATATATATATATACATACATATACATACATCTATATATATATATATATATATATATATATATATATATATATCTTTATAATACTATTCATATTTTAATTTATGGCTCCTGCACACAGGACGCGGTAATGCTTGCCACACGGCGGAAGTTCGCGCGACAGCCAATCAATATGCTGCTTTCCGTAATAATCTTCTAGCTCTTACGGAAAAACAACATATTGATTGGCTGTCGCGCGAACTTCCGCCGCATTACTGCATCCTGTGTGCAGGAGCCATTAGATTTTTTCTTTTTAGAGAAATATTGATATACAACGTGAACATTAATGAGAGTTTGAACTGCCGAAATGAACTGTGATAAAGAAAAAGAAAATGAGTTTTACTTAAGCTCAACATTATCCGAACAAAATAACAGTCAAAAGTGTGCTGGTAAATATATTTGAATTACACGTATTTGTATACATTCATTATGTATACATAGTATACATAGTATACATGTATACTAGAGATGCCCAATTTTTAATCGATTCGATTCTTTCCCTAACAAATTTAGGGAAAAAGGGTTGCTCGTGCTGCTTGCATGTTTCATACTTTTCGCTTTTAAAAAGAGATGGACGCCTAATCAGACGCTTGGAAGAAACAATCGAGTTAGTTATCTTGCTTTTGCTTCTTCCAAACATTCCAATATACTTTTGTCTGGTTTTAAATACGAAAAGTGCGAAGAATGCAAACAACACGAATAAACCTATTTTTGGGGAAAGAATCGAATTGATTCAGAATCGGGTATCTCTAATGTATACATAGGCTGCGGTCCGATTCACGCTTATAGCGCTTATAACGCGCTCACGGCCGGTCCGATTTACACTCACGATGTTCTCGTGAGCATAGTGACGTCATAGATTATGCTGCTTAGGGCTATCGCACACAAATTGACATAACTGCATATGCATAGCATAAGACCGTATGTAGCAATGAGCATCGAGTATTAAGTCGCCATATTGGTGTTCGATGCTTAATATTCGATGCTCATTGGTCCATACGATCTTATGCTATGCATATGCAGTTATGTCAATTTGTGTGCGATAGCCCTTACAGTGCTCACGGTGCCCATGATACGGAGGTGGGTCACCGTGAGCACGTACGTTAGATGAGTGGGAAGATGTGAGTGCTGTGGGTGATGTAAGCGTGAATCGGACTGCAGGGAGTCGATTCTATATCTCGAAGTGAAAGTTACAAAAGTGAGCAAATTTACAAGAATATTCGTAATTTCATTGGTCAGTGCCTAGTAAATGTGCTTACTTTTATAATTTTTACTTCGTTTTGAGATACAAAATTGACCCCCAGCTTAAGCACTTAGTGAGTGGTTCTGATACTGGGTGCAATTAACAGCTTATAAGGAAAAGAAAGCAATTTCAGAAATAATGTCTAAAATGTTAAAATTAATATCTGTGCCTATATATATAGAAGAAAGGAATGAAACAATAAATTTAAAACTCTTACCACAAGATGCAGCAAGGGTTACTACAAGTAAAAAATGAAAACATTGATAATAATAAGATTGTGCTATAATAATGTATACATCTGTGATACATGTGTGGATATGCGCTATAATAATGTATACATCTGTGTTAAATGAAAAGGGTAATTCTTAATTATTTCAAGATGCAAATTATATGGAACAACTCGTTATGGATTATTGTAAAAAAAAATAAAGATTTTGAAAAGCAATGAAATATGGAAATTTCAAATAATGGAAACAATGCAAATGATTGATGTAATAGATCCTCCGTTCATAAGTAATGCATGTAATATTTTATCCTTAGAGACAGAAGAATGTGATAGTAATCCTAAAAATATAGGTCAGTATAATTATAAAAAAAACACAAAGTGTTCTTAAATTTAATGTTCACATTGTTTGTATAAAAACATTTTCCCATAAAAATATCTAATTCTAATAAATGAAAAGTCATTATTTATATGGCCATCGAAATGTATATACTTACTGCTTGATAAATATGAGGAACAGAAAGAAGAATTCACAGGAGACATGAAACATCATAACAAAATATAGGATGCCATTGCTGATGATATTAGAAAAATAAATATGGAATATACAATGAACGAACGAATTACAGTGTCAATCAAAATTCAATAGCTTAAAAAAAACATACAAAAAAATATTAGATTATAATTCTGTGTCAGGAAATGACAGGAAGATGTGGCCATATTTAGAAGTAAGTACATAAGAAATATAACTTTCTTGTTCTTCTGTCATGTATATTAAAGATTTACAAAAATGTTTCTGGTTTCTTTCCAGAGAATGCATGAAATCTTTGGGAAATCAGGATGAGCAAATCCCAAAGCTATCGCTTCAGAAGCTGGACCATGTCAAGAGACAACTTCATCTGGATCTGGGACAAGTGATTATGAGGATAAAAAGAAGCATAAAAAACAAATTTGAGAGTGTTCTGAATAATTTTATGTTAGATGAAAGAGGAAAGAGTACAAAGAGAAAAAAGAAGGGAAGCTAAAGACACATGGTTTCAAGAGCTGAAACAACGAGAAAATCAACATAAGGAAAAAATTGAAATGATGCAGAAGCTTTTAGAGGCTATTAACAAAAAATAATTCTGTTTGACAGCTTGCATGTTTTGTTTATACAATTCGTAAAATTCGTATTATTCCTGCTATTCATAATTACTTTTTGTACTTAACCTGCAGTGATTTTTAGTTTATAAATGCGCAATTAATGTTGTGGAATGACTGATATGGTTACTGTGATGTTATTATATTATAACTATTACTTTAAAATTACTATTACTATAAAACAAAATTACTATTATGAGATATCTAATAGATAATCGTATAGTTTTATTTTTATCATATCATTCATATTTTATTTTATCACAATATTATGTGTCATCAAATTTTAGTAAAAATTTTTGTTTTGTTTTGTTAGCACCGATTAAACTTCTATATCCTAAAGTTAAAGTTCTTTAATTATTCTTATAGTATTACAAATATATTTATATAAATATATTAATAAAAATTATTTATTTTGTATGTATTATATTTCCATTACTTACTGCAAGAAATAAATATCGTCGAAAACAAATTGTGCAATTATTTTTATTTTGACTTGTGCTCATTGAAAAACAGCTTAAATTCTTAAATTAAAATACAAAGAAATTTATATAAAAATATAATGTATTAATATATTTTACATACAAAAATATATAATTATAATACAAAATAAGTGATACTAATGTAATGAATATTAATTGTCCCTCATCACGAGATTGTTTATTATTGTTAGTCGTTTAGTATTACCCACTTTCATTCTGTCAGATATTAATCTTCCACGAAGTGTATCTTGGTCATATATTTCGTTGGAGCCTATCAAATCACCTTTCAAGATACAAATATTTTGCAGTACACAAGTTGCTACCAAATATTGTGGAATTTTCTCTATGGTGACTATAGGTAGGCAATCAAGAATGCTTCTCCATCGTCCTTTCCACAGTCCAAATGCTCTCTCAATAGCCATTCTTGCAGAAGATAAACAAAAATTAAAATTTTTCTGTCTGGTTCTGCTGTTAAGTGTCCATTGTCTTTAAAAGGTATCATGATATGAGGATGGATGCCATAGGCAGAATCTCTGACAATATGTGAATTATTAGGGAAATAGGTCTGTGGATTGTCAATATATCGGCTAACATTAGAGAGCCAAAAAACACGTGCATCGTGCACTGACCCAACATTCCCAGCCAAAACACTCGTGAAAAGTAAGTTTTGCGTACAAACAGCCTAAAATATGAAATAGAAAATGTTATACACAGAAATATTAGAATAATAGAAACAATGGAAATATCCAATTATTTCTTAGACATATTCTTAAAGTTCTTACCTGTACATGGATTGAGTGATATCCTTTACGATTCACATATGACTGTTTATCATCTTGTGGAGCTTTAATTTTAATGTGAGTGCCATCAATGGCTCCTATTATATTGGGAAATGCACTAGTTCTTTCAAATTGCCTCATCACTTCATTTGCTCTTTCATCACGAGGCCATACAATAAATCGAGGAGCCAAAGCATGCAAAGTATAAGCAACTCTCTTCATAGTATAGAATTGCTGTAGCCTTCCTTAAGTTGAATTTTATACACACAAATCTGTAAGCCAGATTTCATATAATTCATGTTATTAAAATGAGATAGTTCTCCATTATTTTTTATAAAAAATCATAAAATACCTATATGAATCTGGTGTTGCCATCATCCACAAAGCCATCAAAAGTTGCTTCTCTGCTGATATAGGTTTTCTGCCACTGATTGAGTTTGTGGTACTTAATGCAGATCCTATTAATCCTAATAGGAATTCAAAAGTTGCAAGCAACATTCTGTAAGAAAAAGAATAAAAATCTCACAATCTAATCTAATTTAACCTATAAGTAAAATTTCTAAAATTGAAATTTTTATATATTTATCAAACTTGAATAGAAAAACTAACTATACCTGAAATGCGTTTTAAATTCTTCTGCAGTGTAGTTGGGAACAACTTTTTCAATATAATCTTTCACACGCGGTCTCATTTGATTTTTACTTCTTATTTTCTTTAAAACTAATTTTCCAATGGTTATAACATTTTCTGTTCTTTTATCTTCATTATCATCACTACTTGAAGATGTATCCATTGCAAATTCTACATCACTATCATCACTTTCCCAACAAAATTCTAAACATTGCAGCAATATTACATTTTTCTCAATATTGTCCATTTTAATGACAAGAAAACTGTTATCCGATTCACGCTTATAGGACTGTAAGCATGAATTATCTTTCTTTGACACATTCACTGCAAAGATAAAATAACGCTTACAGTCGGTCCGAAACGAAAACACCTACAGTGTGTTATTTGAATCGGACCGACCATGAGCGCCCTAAGCATTACAAGTACTATAAGCGTGAATCGGACCGCACCATCATAGGAGCACCTTTATCACTTGTCACTTAAACGTGCCTAAGCGCGCGAAATCTCAGCCCAGTTATTGGTGAAATATAATCGCTTCTCGTTTGAAATTATAGCCTCGACATTTTTGTATGAAAGTTTTCGTTTTAAAATGTTGTAACGCTATTTGCGTTCGATGCGGGATATGCTGCGAGTCGGTGCGGTCCGGATTCGTGACAGTGGTAATAACTTGTGAAGCCAGTGATATAGGTATTAAGATGATATCTATTCTACTTTAAATGGCTATTTACAATGCGTATGTACAGTTTATCTTGACGCCGTTGGTTTGATGGTCGAGTTTTTGCGCTCGTCGTGCGAGTCTGTTGACTTTTGCCGCAAATGATTTGGTAACGCTGAGGCTGCTGGCGGCCGCGGGACGCGGTCGGTGTGATGACGCGTCGATTGTCTCGCGCTCTCGGCGAGATGTTTACATTCGGGTTTTTAATTCCTGTCGCGGTGAGATCCGTTATTCGACGAGAGCAATAATGCTCTGAATGCGCTGCGCTGCTGCGACTCCCAGTGAGGCGGAGTTCGTCGGGCGGTCGAGCGGGGTATTGGAGGTGACGCGTAGGTCGGTCCTACGGTCATCAGAGCGGTGTCGAGGATGTCGACTCTACGTGTCGACGGAGCGGTAATCAAGGATGTAGACTTTTACGAATTCAATAAGTCTACGCGGACGTCGACGTCACGAATTCAACGTCGACGGAGCGGTATCGCGGATGTCGATTTTACATATCCAATGAGTCGACGGAGCGGTACCAAGGATGTAGACTTTACGTATTCAATAAGTCTACCGGGAAGTCGACTCTACGTATTTAATGAGTCGACGGTAACAAGGATGTAGACTTTACGTATTCAACAGGTCTACCAGGATGTCGACTCTACGAATCTAACGAGTCGGCGGAGCGGTATCGAGGATGTAGACTTTACGTATTCAATAAGTCTACCAGGATGTCGACTCTACGAATCCAACGAGTCGGCGGAGCGGTATCGAGGAGAATCTAGGAGGCGGTGGTTCTGGTAGCGGTATTCGCGAAGATCTGCTGTCGGAGCCTTGGCTTTGGTCAGCGGAATGTCTCGGAAGACTGCTTGCTTCCAAGGTATTCGCGCTGTTTTTTATACCGATTTGGTGTGTTTCAATGTTTATCGTTTATCGCGTTCGGTCGGTGGTGTTTACATATTCGCCAATTACTGTTTCGTAGCGATCCGTGTCGTTGGGCCGTGGTTCTTTCGGTCGCGGACGGATCGTTACAACGTTCTAAAGAATCTGCCACATTAAAATAACACCTAGTAGTTTCGAGACACCCTATATATTGCTGCAACTTCCACGTTATTACTTGTTATATTTCGTTACGGCAATGTAATAGTTACATAACTGAGTTTGCTGTGTTATTTAGCTAAATTTCTTTTTACAATAAAATTCGGTAAAACTTGAGTTTAGGGGACCCATTTCCAATGTCTTTATATTGGTATATGTTATAGAAATATTTATATTGGTATATGTTATAGAAATCACCCTCCTGAGTAACGTTGAAAAGATTTTAGCTGTCGCTCATTGTTTATTAAAAAGTTATTAACAAAAGAAGTTCAAATATAACGAAATTTTTTTAAATTAGTAGTAGTTTATTAGATTAAAGAGATTTGTTCTATTTCATTTTCAATTTAATTTATAAATAACAATATAAATGTTTTATTTTAAAGGACAAACACTAGGCTATTAAGCCGTTTAAAGGAATAAAAGATTATAATACATGAGAAAGTTAAAGATAGACACAATAGACTTTTGTACATATACAGATTGTTATCTTCCCGTTTAGTAATAAAAAATTATCACTTTTCTACTTACCCATTATAAAACTGAATTAAAAAAGATGATATATAAGCGACAAATTTCATTCTCAAAACATATATTATGCGTTAAGGTCCAGTTCCACAATCTTCAGTTAACTTAATTGGCTGGTTATTCCATTGGACTTGACCAATTGCATTTGACATTAAGAAGAGTTAATCAGAATTAACCAACCACTATTGGGACTTAACTAGTAGTTAAAATTAAACGGATGTTGTGAAACTTGGTCTAAGACTTATATTTTATTGCGACCATGTTGAATTTCCCTGATGGAAAAATTTGCTGAAAATGTAATGAATTCGTTGAAAATACAATGAAATCGTCGAAAAGAAAAATGAAAGTTACTGAAAAGTTGCTGAAAATATTTCATAATAAATCATGATTTTCTTCATGAATTGTTATGAAAAGTGTGATGAAATAATGAATTTTAAATAAATATTGATGAAAAGTAATGAAAACATTTTGAGATATTTAATATTATGAAATCTACTCAATTTTAATGAAAACTGAGTAAACTGTAATGAAACCTTGCTGAAATATTGACGAAAAAAGTTCGTTAAAACATTTCTCAATTACTTTCAAAATTTTGCTGAATTGCACTGAACTTTGGTAAAATAATAATAATTCATAATTAATTGTAAATAAGTATTTTATGTATCTTAATGAAAAATTTCGTAAAAAAGTTTTGAATAAATAACGAAATCGTGCTGAATTTCACTGATAATTTATGATGCTAATTAAAATTTAATTTTTTTATTTTTCTATGTATTAGGATATGAAAATTCTCATTGACATTTCCATAAAAATTACTGAAACATATCGAACTTTACTGAAATATATGGAAATCTGATTTCTTCACTATGTTTCAACATAAATTCATACGATTGCTAATTTGCATCTAATATCCCAAACAGCACAAAATACTTATAAAACATTTACAAAGTATTTATAAGATTTATATGAATATTTTATAAATATCTACCAAAATATTTCATAAATATTTTTGTGACCTTAGATTCAATAGATCATAAATATTTATCATACATATAAAAATATTTATTAAAGAATATATATATATATATATATATATATATATATATATATACATATATTAAATATATTTTTTTAAATTGAACTATTCTTAAATTTTTCACTTTATTGTTTCATACGCTATTTAATTCAAGTTAAAATACTTCGAAAATTGGCTTACCATTTCTGAGATTCCTCGAACCAGAGACCTCTTGAGCTGTTCACCTTACTGCACCTCACTTTGACTGAGAGATACTTCGCATTATATACATATGGTATATCCATGTACAAAAACATGATTTATTTAAAAGAAGAGAATACATCCTTTTAAATGTAAAAAGTATGTTTTTAAAAAGTATATAAAAAGTATTAGGTGTACAACTTTGCTTCCGCCGTTTTCCTATAGATGGCTTTAGCGGTAAGTGGTGGTCGAAATAAATAAATCATAGACGTCATACAATAAACTTGGGCAACTTGGTCAACATAAACCGTGGAAACATTAGTCGATTTGTGTCTGCATCATAAAGTTATTCTCGATTGAAAATGTCAGTTTACGAGCCAAATTCTCGTCATTTGCGGGAGGTTTTAATTTTCTGCTTCAATATGAAGAAATCTGCGGCTGAGACTCATCGAATGCTTTCCAATACTTATAGTGAGGCCGTTATTAGTGAAAGAACGTGTCGTGAATGGTTTCAACGCTTCAAGAACGGTGATTTTGACGTCGAAGACCGGCATAGCGGTGGAAGAGAGAAGGTTTTCGAAGATGCAGAATTGGAGGCATTACTTGATCAAGACTCGTGTCAAAATCAAGAAGAATTGGCACGATCATTGGGAGTGACTCAGAAGTGACAAGCCATTTCAAAACGCCTCAAAGCCATGGGAATGATTCAGAAGCAAGGAAATTGGGTGCCGTACGAATTGAAGCCGAGAGATGTTGAACGGCGTTTGTTTGCTTGTGAACAGCTGCTTGAAAGGCAAAGACGGAAGGGATTTCTGCATCGCATTGTGACTGGGGACGAAAAATGGGTTCATTACGATAACCCCAAGCGCAGAAAATCATGGGGAGTTCCCGGCCATGCTTCCACGTCGACGGCCAAACCGAATATTCACGGCTCCAAGGTCATGCTCTGTATTTGGTGGGACCAGCTCGGCGTAGTGTATTATGAGCTGT